ACTGTAGAGGGAACAGTTCCAGTGTAGAAACTGTTGGAGGGCGAGCACTGTCTTGTCCCTTTAATCCGTTGTTGACATTCAAGACCTATTATATTCTTTGCACAGATGCTCGCTGAATACGCACACATATGGTAGAAGCTTGCTGCCCTGTTGGCTGAATGTGGTGCCTTAAAGGTGATGATTCTGCTTGCAGGGCATACACTCCAGGGCAGGACTCCCTGGGGGTTTGTATAGTGGGTGTATGTGCATACGTAATATGAGAGAGTTTGTAAGAGGTATGACATATTTAGAATCTTGGCTCTTCCCAGTGAGAGGCTGAACCCCTGAGGGCTCTGTGCTGCATCCTGTACAATGGACAAAGAACCACAGTTGGCAACTGGGTGGGTGCTGAATGACCATGGGGGAATTAAAGATCTTTAGAAAACTTTTGGTGGCTTCCTGGATTTTGTTTTGAGGGTCATTTCCATTATTATGATTGATTCAGTCCCTGCTCAGCATTCAGACAGACAGACAGACAAGTGTATGGACAGAAACATTCCAATACCAAACACAGAGGATGGCTGAGTCCAAAATGCAGCACAATGCTTTTTTGGCAGGGGATGTGACAATGTCACTTAGTTTGGAGCGTTAACATTGATCGCTGCTCAGGAGTCTGGAGTTAAGGAAGGATTTAGCTAGAGGCTGGCAGAAGTAAGTTCTGTATGCAAGTCCCAACATGGGAAAAAGCACAAAGCCAAGAATGACCAAGAGAAATACAGGGAGCAGAGAGGCTTGGCTGAAGCAAAGGGAGCAAAACAAGGAATGGGGAGATGCAGCTGGAGCTTTGGGCAGAGGCACAATTGTGCATGGCTGTGATCCTGGTAAAGAGCAGCTCAGACTTGAAGAATGAGGCGAGGGGGGGCTGGTCAGTAGCCAGTGAAGGGGCTTTTGCCTGTTGGGGGGGGGTAAGAAGTGACTTGGGTATGGTAGAGAGGAAGAGGTTGCAGTCAGTGAGACAGTGTGACCTAGGCCTGTGAGAATGCTTTACTATAGCAAAGGAAAGGAAGCGTGGTATTTTGGGGGATGTGGAGAAACTTCAAGTGCAGCCAGGAGTTGGTAACTGACTGGATACATCAGGGATATTAATCAAGCTCCCACTTCAACTCCATGCATTAAATGCAAAAAGCTACGATCTGTGGAATAGGACTGCACAATTAAATATCCAAAAGTGAGGAAATGCCTATGTTAAAGTGCACCATTAGCTCTGCCCCCTTGTGAGTCTCTGTTGTTCCCATACAGTCTGTTGGTTGTGATCATGTGCCATCTCTCAGATAACAGTGCAACATACTGATTTTTCTACAGTCTTACATGCACTTACCTGTGCTGCATCGTTACTGCTTATGGTAGTTTTTATTGTCAGTCATAATGGTCTGGTCCATCTTTATGAATTTAGTCTGTGATTTTCATAGATTATAAAACCAGAAAGGACCATTGTGATCAGCTAGTCGGACATAATACACCTCTACCTGGATATAACGCGACCCGATATAACACAAATCTGGATATAACGCGTTAAAGCAGCACTCGGGGGGGCGGGGCTGCGCACTCCGGCGGATCAAAGTAAGTTCAATATAACACGGTTTCACCTATAACGCGGTAAGATTTTTTTGGCTCCAGAGGACAGCGTTATATCGGGGTAGAGGTGTACAAGCTAAAAAACTTCCCTGCATTAATTCATGTTTGAACTAGAGCAGATCTTTTGAAAAAAACATCCAATCTTAATTTAAAGATTTTCAGTAGGGCTGTCGATTAATCACAGTTGACTCACATGATTAACTCCATAAAATTAACTGCGATTAAAAAATTAATTGCAATTAATAGCACTGTTAAACAATAGAATACCAATTTAAATTTATTAAATATTTTTGGATATTTTTCTACATTTTCAAATATATTGATTTCTATTACAGCACAGAATACAAAGTGTATAGTTCTCACTTTATATTATTTTTTATTACAAATATTTGCACTGTAAAAATGATAAACGAAATAGTATTTTTCAATTCACCTCATACAAGTACTGTAATGCAATCTCTATCGTGAAAGTAATTTACAAATGTAGATTTTTTTTTTTGTTACATAACCACTCAAAAACAAAACAATGTAAAACTTTAGCGCCTACAAATCTACTCAGTCCTACTTCTTGTTCAGCCAATTGCTAAGACAAACAAGTTTGTTTACATTTACAGGAGATAATGCTGCCTGCTTCTTATTTACAATGTCACCTGAAAGTGAGAACAGGCATTCACGCTGCAAGGTATTTACGTGCCAGATATGCTAAACATTCATATGCCCCCTCATGCTTCGGCTACCATTCCAGAGGAGATGCGTCTATGCTGATGATACTCGTTAAAAAAATAATGCTTTAATTAAATTTGTGACTGAACTCATTGGGGGAGAATTGTATGTCTCCTGTTCTGTTTTACCCACAGTCTGCCATATATTTCATAGCAGTCTCGGATGATGATCTTGCACATGTTTGTTTTAAGAACACTTTCACAGCAGATTTGACAAAACACAAAGAAGGTACCCGTGTGAGATTTCTAAAGATAACTACGACACTCAACCCAAGGTTTAAGAATCTGAAGTGCCTTCCAAAATCGGAGAGGGACAAGGTGTGGAGCATGCTTTCAGAAGTCTTAAAAGAGCAACATTCCAATGCGGAAACTACAGAACCCGAACCACCAAAAAAGAAAATCAACCTGCTGGTGGCATCTGACTCAGATGATGAAAATGAGCATGCGTCGGTCCGCTCTGCTTTGGATTGTTATTGAGCAGAACCCATCATCAGCATGGATGCATGTATTCTGGAATGGTGGTTGAAGCATGAAGGGACATATGAATCTTTAGCACATCTGGCACGTAAATATCTTGCAAGGCCGGCTACAACCATGCCATGCGAACGCCTGTTCTCACTTTCAGGTGACATTGTAAACAAGACGTGGGCAGCATTATCTCCTGCAAATTGTAACCAGACTTGTTTGTCTGAGTGATTGGCTGAAATAGGACTGAGTGGACTTGTAGGTTCTAAAGTTTCACATTGTTTTATTTTTGAATGCAGTTATTTTTTGTACACAATTCTACATTTGTAAGTTCAACTTTTATGATAAAGAGATTGCACTACAGTACTTGTATTAGGTGAAATGAAATATACTATTTCTTTCGTTTTTTACAGTGCGAATATTTGTAATAAAAAATAAATATAAAGTTAGCACTGTACACTTTGTATTCTGTGTTATAATTGAAATCAATACACCTCTATCTTGATATAACATTGTCCTCGGGAGCCAAAAATCTTACCATGTTATAGGTGAAACCGCGTTATATCAAACTTGCTTTGATCCACCGGAGTGCGCAGCCCTGCCCCCCCCCCCCCCCCCCCCCCGGAGCACTGCTTTACTGCATTATATCCGAATTCGTGTTATATCTTACACATGTTTATAGGAGTCTAATGTTGGCTGACTTGAATTCTGGTTCGCCATTGCTCTGCCCTGTGTGTTTTCATTTACAGGGTGCAGAGTGGTATAAAATGCTACCAAATCAGAATGGTATACATTGGTGTAAATGACTGCACAAGGTATAGGGAAGCACAGCAGGTCCTCTGCTACCAGAAGAAAAAGTGATTTAAAGCAGAGTTAGGGCTAGTAAAGAAGTGGAACTTAAACATCTTCTAACTCCTTAGCTTGCAAGTTACACCAAACTTGGGACTCCTTTCAACTTTGATAGAGTAGGTGCAAGTAGGTTTAAGCGGGGGGAGGGCGTGTTTCTATGCCAGTGTAAGGGGCTCTAACATGCCACCTCTGAATATGGCACCGTGCCTCTAGAGGAAGTCTAAGTAGGCAAATGCACAGAGTTATTAGACCCAGCTGCTTCAATCCAAAAAGCATGGTGGTCTTGGAACAGTCACTAACTAGGGGTTCTGTAGTGCATTATAGTAGCAAAAGAATAGGCTCCATGCAAAGAGGCATCAAGTCATGGAGCAGGGAGGTCCTTCTGTGCAGCTCTGGGCACTTCATTACCAGAAAGTGATAGACAATTTATAGTGTTCAGAGAGGAGCCACAGGAATGGGTGAGAGACAGGAGGAGGGCTGGATATGTAATAGAGCATTGTCTTTCTCTAGCATCTAGCCCTTTCCACTTTACAAACATTAATTAATTAAGCCTCTCTGAAAAGTAGGTCAGCACCGGTATTCCAACCTAACACAAGTGGTGGAAGCCCGCTATCGCTTATAACTGGACTGTACAAAGCATCGAGCGACGCTACAGGGAGTGCCCTGGACCGGCTTGGGAATGGGCTAGGAGCCAATAGGTTTCTTCCATCCCTAGTCTGTGTGTTGCAGTGTCTCTTGTTGCAGTGACACAGAAAAGTCATGACAGAATGGAGCGGTAGCGATTGCTTTAAAGCACAGGTGCTTGATGAATGAATAAATCTCTGAGCAGTATCTCAGCTGGGGGTGCCCGTGGAGGTTAAAGCTGGTAGAAGTTCCCAGACAGTTCTATTCCTGTTGCCTCCTTGGCATTTGAGACAGTGGCAGGAGTTAAATGACCATGAGACAGGCCATGTGCCCTTCAATTAGGTTCAGAAACAAATGATAAATGGTTGTCTCCCGACCTGAAAGTGGGCTAGTTTGTGGTAGGAACAACCAGCTAAAATGGAGGCAACAAGGAAAAGAATGAAAGAAATGCTTGTATGGAAATAGTTCCTTATATAAAGGGTTAAAACGTCAATCTTATTATTGTCTTAAGGCTCTAGAACTTAGCTGTCTCCGGCCTCCGCAGTATAAGCCCAGTTGCTCAGTCTGATAAGCAATCAGCTTTGTCAGCCCAGCACGGCAGGGGATCAGCACATGAAGCGCTGATGCAGCTTGTGCCCGTGGAGGCTGAAGGTGGGGTGCTCTTGATAGCCTCTTTACAAGTATAGGGAGCTTTTCTTAGTCAGCACGCACCTAATGGAAGCATTACCATGAAATCAAAGCTGTCAACCCTCAGGCTGTCATTTTTGGGATCTCTGATGTGAAATGCCAGGTACCATGAGGCAACTGGGGAAGAGGCGCGCAAGCCTCTCTGCCAATCTGAAAATCGGGGACCACCATGGGTGTTGTCGGACTCCAGAGGAAGAAGAGGTCTTCTTCCCGTTTGCACAAGACAGTGTGGTGAAGCAGTGGAGCTCCATGCACAATGTGACTGAGAGGAACCAGGAGAAAAGCAAGGCTCCTCCCCGACGGAGCAGATGCTTCCTCAACATCAACGTTGGGGGCAAATCTTTCCAGATCGCTTACAAAATGGCTGCCCGTTACCCCATCACCAGAATCGGGAAGCTGGCCATCTCCACGGACCCCATGAAGAAGCTGAAACTTTGTGATGACTACTCGGTGCAGAGGAATGAGTACTTCTTCGACCGAGACCCTTTAATCTTCCATTACATCTTCCACTTTTACCGCAGCGGGGTCCTGTGGATCATGGATGAGCTGTGCCCCACAAACTTTGTGGAGGAAATTGAGTACTGGGGTATCCACCTGAAATATTCCCAGCAGTGCTGCCGGATCCTGTTTGAGGAAAAGCAAGACGAGCTCAAAGAGTACCTGAAAATACAGCGGGAGCTGGAGGCGGAGCTAGAGCCCATGGAGCGGGAGGAGAACTTTGAGGGCAAGTGTCTGGGGGGGTTCCGGAAAGCTGTCTGGAACCTCATTGAGAAACCCTACTCCTCCATCCCTGCTAAGATCATCGCTGTCATGTCCAGCTTCTTTGTGTTGATCTCCATTGTGGGCATGACGCTCAGCACAGTGGAGGAGATGCAGCACAAAACTGGGAAGGCATTCATGGAGCAGCTGGAGACCATCTGTGCCATCTTCTTCACCTCCGAGTACCTCATGCGGCTCATATCCACGGCCACCTTTCCGAAGTTTCTGCGGGCAGCGTTCAATGCCATTGACCTGGTGGCCATCCTGCCCTTCTACATCCAGATTCTCTTTGAGCACCTGGATGAAGGGGATGCACTTTACCACGAGGAGCGGCACAAAATGGAGAGTGTGGGCAAGCTGGGGAAAGTCCTGAAACTCATCAAACTCATGCGGATTTTTCGCATCCTCAAGCTGGCACGTCACTCCACTGGCCTGAGGGCCTTCGGCTTCACCATGCGCCAGTGCTACCAGCAGGTGTGCTGCCTCCTCCTCTTCATCGCCCTGGGAGTTTTCACTTTCTCGGCTTTGATGCACTCCGTGGAACATGATGTCCCCGGCACCAACTTCACCAGCATCCCTGATGCCTGGTGGTGGGCAGCGGTAAGATGCAGTCACCCCACGTAAAGGGAAATGTGTGGGTGGGGTACACATGGGCAACTGAATCTGCTGGGACTGAGCTAAGTGCTATAGGAACATTCCCCACCTCTGTTGGCCAGGAGTCTCCCCCAATGTAAGCAGTAACTGCTTGGCTCAGGCCTGAATTCAGAGGCTGCCCAGGCCCCTGCTGACTCTGGAGGGGGAAGTTGGCGACTGGGAGTATGGCAGTGAAGCACAGGGAGCCCCTTGGAAAGCTGCCTGGGTCCCGAAACAAGCCTGGCATCAGGGAGTCAGACACCAGGCTTGGGGGCTCCTGCCTCACAGCATAGGACACTGGCCATGGTGTAAGGGATGCCAAGGTGGGGACAGGCTCTGTGGCACAGCAGTTCAGAGAACTCGAGGATAGTGAGGAGCTGTAGCTGAGAACCAAACCCTGGCAGGGCTAGTGTCTAACCAGGCCGATGTGAACCAGGAACTGAGAGCCTTGTGCCAGGGAGCGCAGGACACTCATGGCCCAGGCACCAGGACCATCCATGCAGCACTGGGAACATGCAGAGCACCACGTCTAGTTATTGGGGTAGGGTGCTAAACCCTCAGGATCCAGGGACAGTGAGCATCTGTGGCTGGTACTCATGGCTCCCAGTCCCTAGGACACAGGGAAGGGAGTTCCCGCATAGCGTACAGCAGGAGGGATGGGGCAAGAGGGACACATGCAGCAGTGCCTGGGATCATGCTGGAGAGGAGAGCTGTGTCTGGGGCCACCAGAAGGAGGGGGAGGGTACACCCGGATCAACGTCAGAGCCGGTGACAGGGGACGGAGGGCATGGAGATCAACTGTGAAGGGGTTTGGGCCAGGGGTCATGGGGGGAGGGGCACACAAGTCAGATTGCGGCCTAGGTATAAGGGGGATGCACAGATCAGGATCCTGGGGACTGAGGAAGGTACATGGATGTGTCTGGGGCTCATGCAGGGGAAGGGAGATGCATGGCTCAGCCCTGGGCTTGTAGGGCCTAAGGGGAAAATGCCCAGCTCAGAACCCAAACACATGGGTCTACGAAGGGGAAACAGATTGGCCTGGGTTTGTGCAGGGGGAGAGCGACACAGGTTGAGCTTGGGTTCATCATGGAGGGTATTCTGGCCTGAGCTTGGGTGGGGAAGGAGGGGCTCAGACTGGGGCTTAGGGAAGGACTCTTGTATTGATAGACATTATCTCAGGTCCAGTGGGGTGTTTCTAGAACCTTGTGTGGTACGGGGGTCACACCAAGTTATGGCCAGTGATTCCCATGCAACGAGCACCATTGAAAACCTGCTGACAGCAGGCAGGAAATCAGTTAAAGCACTGGAGACTGAAGAGTTAAGCAGGACATTCCTTTCAATAGTTTGCCTCATTCCCTTCCCTGCAGGAGTGTGGTGGCTTTTCTAGGGGAGAGCCCACAGCTTCCCGCTCTCTTTAGATGGTATTGGAAGTTCCTGTGGGGATGCACTTTGGGTCAGAGATTATTCTGAGTTGCTAAAGTCCACTCTTGTCTCTTTCAAAGACAAGAGCTCAAAGGAAAAAGAAAAGTTACGAACGCTCAGCTCAGCTGCTGGGAGAATTACAGATGTAGTAGCATGCTCCTATTCTCTCTCAGAGCTGGCAAATTTTTACCAGGTTTGGGCTAAAGGGATGTGCAGAGCTGGCCATGGGCTCACAGTCAAAGGTGCTGCTGTCCTGGCCAACTAAACCAGATTCTGATTTGACAGAAGGAAAGAGGCAGGGGTGGGAAAATTCCCTGCCAGTGAGTGGGTGTGATCAGGAATCTCAGGTTTACAGCCCTGGAGTTAACCAGACACATGCAGTGATGGTATCTGAATCTCTGGGCTGGGCTGGTCAGGACATCTGTGAGGGTTAGGAGAGTGGAGGCCCAGCAGTATGATGGTCCATTCTGGGTACCAGGGGAGTGGATGACAGAGCTCACTCCTTGTCCTGAAGCAGGAAGTCCACTCCAGCCCCTCAGGCCAAGCTTCAGCAAGTGACCCTCTGAAAATCCATGTCTAGAAATGTTTAGGTGGCAGCAATCTCACCACATCCAAACTGCACAATCAAAACACTGAGTCAGTGATTCTATTTATGTTCCTTTCCCGTCATTGGTTTGTTTCCTGTCATTCAAACACCATCTTGGTTGGTGGGAAAATAGTAATTTTGTGACCTCACCAGTAGCCTTGAAGACCCCCAGTGAGTTACTTTATCTGAAGCACGTCTACTTTGTACCAATCTCCTGGGGCCTGGTTTGCCAGTGCCCTGCCATTGCTTTGTGCAGCCATTTCTTTACTCCAGGGCACAGTGGGTGTGAAACTCTGCCCTCCTGATCTGGAGGCATCTGTCACGCACCTTTCACTGGCATGAGCATCGACACAAGGGGAGGGAGATGGGTGGGTGGGAATCAACCCCATGTCTCCTAGAAGCTTTTGAAATAAACCTTTGTCACCACTCACCTGATTTGGGCAGTTAAGGGCTTGGCTACACTTGAAAGTTGTTTCTGATTAAGGTGGAGCGTTGATGTAAAGTGCAATAACTGTGTTAGTTCATTCCAGAATAAGCGTCTACACATGGAGCTCCTTCCTGCGTGTAGACGAGCCCTTGGGGTTTAGACATCTGCAGGACAGAAGCTAAAAAGGGGAGTGTTGTTGTAGCCATGTTGGTCCCAAGCTATTACAGAGCCAAGGTGGCTGAGGTATTATCTTTTATTGGACCAACTTCTGTTGGGGAGAGAGACACGCTTTTGAGCTACACAGAGCTAGACCGAAAGAAGAACAAACTAACTAAAAGTTTATTAACTAGGAAAAAGAAACGAGAGTTATTTGCAAGGTTAAAGCAGGTCAGCATACACACCCAAATGAGATACAGGCAGGTTTCAGAAGTTTTCAAATTACTAGAAATTTCTGTAGTAAGCAGACTCTGTATCCTTTGGGGCTAATCCAGACAAAACAGGTGGGGACTCCTTGCTTATGCTTAGAAATCTTGCCCCTCAGAGTACAAGCAGCATAGGAATTCAGTTTCTCCTTGTCAGGAATTTTTATTGCTTCTCCCCCGCGTCCAAAGTGATAGAACAAGTGTTGGTGCCTGACTCCTCTTCATGTGAGTGGGGAGGGCAGTCAACAAAGTCTATGTCCTTTCGATGTCTTACAATGGCTCATTCCATTTCAAAGGCTCGCTTGTCTGCGGGCCTGTCACTGTACTCCAGTGGTCCCCCAACCTTTCTACCCCATGCTCCCCCGTTATCCCTGTCCCTGCCCACCCCCCAGGAACGGGAGTGGGGCTGCAGCTCCAGGAGAGGGGGGGACCTGGACTGGGATAAGGGAGCCGAGGCTGGGGTCACAGCTGGGGACAGGGGCGGGAATGGAGCCCCGCGTGCAGGGCCGGCAGCTAGCGACAGAGCTGGGGCCAGGAGTGCAGCTGGGTGGTGCTCCCTCCCTGCCCCCCGTGGGGGTTGGCTCAGGCACCAGCCACACACCCATCTGTAAAAGGTTGTTTACACAGTTTCAGGGCAACTCGTCCCTCAAGGTCTTCTACTCTTAGGCTTTTGACTCCCAGCCATCACCTCTCTTGGGAGGAGACCCACATCTCACTCCCTCCTGACTGGGGTATTTCCAGGCTACACAGTTCCCTGCCTACATTGTGATATCCCCAGCAAGCCAGACTGTGCTTTGCTTTCTCTCCAGAGGCTATGACCAGTGTTTTGCCTGCAGTCACAAGTTACCACACAGCTCTTTCTAAGCAAGCACCTTTATTCTTATGGTGAAAGCATTACAGAGAAAACACATTAAAAACAGTAGAAGAACTTACACGCATCCTGAAAAGCTTACGAGAGATCATCCCCCAACTCCAAACGTGGGCTCTGGTGGGAGTCAGTACTTCAAACCCCACGGCTGAGTTTTCCCCATGGTTACAATTTCATAACTGTCTCGGATTCAGAACCAGAGCACCGGCTAGGCAGTTCAGCCATTTCTTTACACAGCTCGGCCTTTGAGCTTCAGTCTCCAGGAACAGGTAACAACAATAATCACCCTTTCCTTAGGACATGGCTAAGTCCATTCATGCCTGGCACATTTTCAGTATAGTCCTTTGAACTCCTAAGTCTCACATCTGTCACGTCTCCCCCTAGAGAGATTACATCCAATCCAGGCCCATCCTAAAACAAAGCCATTCAGTTAATACAATGGACCCCAAACATACTTAAACTTAAGTGGATAATGTCTCCCAAGGATAAGCAGGAAATTGCCATACCTGTCACAGTTGTGATAAAGAGCATAGTGAGCAATTGTTCTTCATATTCACCGAGAGAAGGACAAGAGGATTTGGCTTGGTTTACAGCCAGGGAGCTCTAGGTTGGAAATTCGGAAAAACTTGCTACCTCTCAGGGTAATTAAGCACTGGACCAGGTTAAGAAGGGAGGGTGTGGAATCCCCGTCACTGGAGGGTTTTAAGAACAGGCTGGACAGACACCTGTCAGGGATGGTCTAGGTTTACTCAATGCTGCCTCAGCGCAGGGGGATGGACTAGATGACCCCTTGAGGCCCCTGATTCTATAACTATCAGCACTCGAGGGATTTAGCCATTATCCTCTTTGCAATGTGGGCAGGTTACCAGCCTGAGTGTCCCAGCTAGCCTGAGGGTGAGGGGTTTGTGTGCGGAGAGGAGCGGGTTAGGGACAGCATCCAGGTAAGAGCCCACCTAACTCTTCATTGAAGACTTTCCCAGGAATTTGGGTCAGAGAAGGGGAACTCATGGATTGGTGAGTAGCTTTGAGGGCAGAGGGGGTGACACATGGGTTGATGCCTGGACCCCCGGGGCTGAGAGAGAACATGGTCTGGTGCCCAGGTAGTGGGGATAAGGGTGACATGGGATAGTGTGTGAGGGTGAGAGACAGGCAAGCTGGGGGGAGGGGTGACAGGGTGAGGCAGACCCTCAAGCTGGTTGCAGGGTTGGGCCTAGGGGTGCCACCTGGAGTGGTGCCCAGCTTGGGTGAGTGGGGGGAAAGGACCCTGAGGGCTGTGCCTCAGCTGTCAGGTGCAGGACGCAGGATCAGGCTGGGGGAGGGGGGATGGGGTGAGTTTCTCAGTGGTGGGGCCTGGCTCAGAAGCTGAGCAGTCCCAGAGGAGCTTGCTGGGATGTGAGCTCAGGGGGGTTGATCATTTCCCTCTCTCAACCCCCTTCCAGGTCAGTCTGTCCACAGTGGGCTATGGAGACACGGTGCCTGACACGGTGCTGGGCAGGATGGTGGCGTTCGGGTGCATCTCCTTCGGCATCATTCTCAACGGGATGCCCATCTCCATCCTCTACAACAAGTTCTCCGATTACTACGCCAAGCTGAAAGCCCATGAGAACGAGACCAGCCTCACACTCAAGTTCACCAAGAAGATTCGCTTTAAGGAGCGAGCCCTGAAGAAGTTGGCTGAGTGCTGCAGTGGTGACGCCTATGTTCACGACTGAATGGGCCACCCTGTGGGTCACATGACTGGGCTACTCGAGCACCCACCAGGCCACCTGACCTCCCGCCTAGACACCCCCCCCCCCACCAGCAGGGCCATCCAACATGGCTACCCCACCCACCACCCAGCCCGCCCGGGGTAACAGAACTCCCAACCTGACTACCCGACTAGCCCCCCATCAACTCGGTCACCGGACCTCCCAGCCTGGCTACCCCACCTCCAGCCTAGACACACACACCCAGCTAGACCATCCGACATGGATACTCCACCCTACAACTAGGCCATCCATCTGGGTAGGCTAGACACTCAGCCCCCTTGCCCAAGTAGGCTTCCTGGAATTGTCCACCTACTTCCTTGGCCTGGCCACTTCACCTCCAGGGAACATGCACATTCGCTGTGAGGGAGACCCTGGGATGTAGGAACGAGTGAGTGAGAGCAGCAGGTTAGGCTGGCGTTTGCAATGCGATACGGCTGCAAAACTGTCCAGGCCATTTGTAGAGAAGAAGCAGGGAGGGGACCGAGCTTCTGCTGTGACCTGCCTGGAATGTCACGCTCATTCCTGGACAGCACAGTCCCAGGGACAGACTGTCAATGGGGCAGGAGCTCAGAGAAGAGCAACAAAAAGGACCCAGGGGCTGGAGGGATGGAATGTGGGGCACAGCTGAAGCTGCCTGGCTTGGCTCAGGGAGTTGGGTAGGGCCTGAGAATGCGCTCCAAGCCATGAGAGGAAGCAGGGAATTAATGTGACCCCTGGAGGGAGTGGGGCACAATTAGGCTGAATGGAGGCACATTCCCCAGCAGTCAGATGTGTCAGGCTGAGACCTGGTCACCCCCAGGAAAGCGTGGAAGCTCCACTGCTGCTGACACAACTAGATGCAGGGCCGGCTCTGGCTTTTTTGCCGCCCCAAGCAAAAAAAAAAAAAAAAACCCCCGCGGGGCGGCCGAGCCAGGGTGCAGGGGGACTCCCTGTGCTGCAGACGTGCAGCAGAGTGCACGCCCGGTCTAGCGGGGGGGAGGAGGAGGGAGCGGGGCAGAGAGAGAGAGCAGGGGGGCAGCCAGGGCTTCAGCGGGGGCGCTCACCACGCGGCCCCGACCACCGCGCCGCCTGCCGGGCGCTCCCCTCCTCCACGCCACCGCCCCCTACAGGGCGGCCGGAGCGGCAAACCAAAAAGAAAAGGCGGCTGGAATGCTGCCCCTTGGAATCTGCCGCCCCAAGCATGAGCTTGCTCGGCTGGTGCCTGGAGCCGGCCCTGACTAGATGAGACAAAGCCAGGTAGGATATACTGCCAAGGGCTGCTCTGCCCTGGGCCCCAGGGGCTGATGGGACATCAAAGGTCTTTTCTAGCTCTCGTGCCCCAGGCAGAACCCAATGGACACCACTAGGAAATCGTGTCTCTTCCTCAAAGAAGCTTTTACAATTGGAGCGCCAAGCCTGGGCCATGGCACAGGGGAAGAGCCGCAGAGCGGGAAGTAGGAGGGGGTGCAGTGTGGGCGGGGCCATGTCTGGATGGTTGGGGAGGCTGAGCCTCCCCCAGCCTATGATACCCACCGCCTATGCTGGTGGGGGCAGCGGTGGTGCCTGCTGATCTCTTCGGCAAACTCGCTTTTGGGGGGGCCGTTCTCACGCGGCTACTCTGTTGGCTCCTGGGAAATCTGTCTGCTGGAGGGCTGAGCCCGAGACTGTATCAGCAGGAATGTTCATCCAATAAAACAGAATAGGACAGTGTATCATATTCACTGGCAAATGTCTCCGTGCTGTACCAGGGAGAGCGGGTTGGCAGAGCCAGTACTGTCTTTAGATTAGCCAGGGGAAGCTGTTTGCAGACATTGGTCATGAGAGATTTTGCAAATTCGAACATAGATTCCCTTCATAGTCTGCCTTCTATGGACCCTGGGCTGAATGTTTTACAAGGTACCTGCTGCATTCGTGGGCAGATCTCTTCTTTTGGTGCAAGAGTCCAGTGCTCTGTCTGGGTGCAGGTGTGTCTGTGGGTGGCTGCTCATGGCCCAGTGTAGGGTGGTGCTTGTAATTTAAACTCTTGGTTGTGCAGACTAAGCTGTCCTGATGTAGCGGGGGGTGAGGGCGCTCAGCTGCACACTTCCCTGCATCTTCCTTGTGCGGGAGGAGATTTTCTATAATGGCCAAACCTTGAAGCGTTAGTGAGTAACTCAGAAAGTTCACACACTTATAATGCCAAAACTACTCCAGCTAGAAACCACAAACCTGTTGAGTTATGGGCAGGGCCGGCTCCACCTTTTTTGCCGCCCCAGGCGGCGAAGGGAAAAAAAAAAGCCGTGATTGGCGGCACTTCGGCGGCAGCTCTACCGCGCCACTTCATTCTTCGGCGGCCGGTCCTTCCCTCCAAGAGGGACCCGCCACCGAATTGCCGCCGAAGACCTGGACGTGCCGCCCCTTCCCCTTGGCCGCCCCAAGAACCTGCTTCCTGTGCTGGTGGCTGGAGCCGGCCCTGGTTATGGGCCCCATCAGGGAATAAACCTCATGCTAAGTGTAAAGAACATTGGTTTGGTGTTTCCTTTTCTTTAATTTTTATTGAACAAAACAACAGCTATATAAGAAAAAAATACAAACGATAAATCAGAGTTTGCCATAAAGCCATTGCTGTTGGCCACAGACTACATCTCTCAGCAGAGATCTCCTGATTCTGATCAGCAGAAAAATCAGTAAGATTTACCAGGGTTTGGGATATTTTCTATGGGCCCAGTTTGGCCACCTGTACATGAGGTAGTACCTTTCCTCGCAGTGGCTACTCACTGCTCAGCAGATGGGTACCAGGCTCTCTCTAGCCACATATAGGGCCAGTTTTTGCTCACTCCACCACAGCCGTGCAGGGAGCTAAGGGTTCCCAATGCTCACAATTTTACTGCATGCTTCCTGACAAATGGTGTTTTTCTTAAAGTGCCAGCTCTGGGTACGTGGTGATTACACGAGAATCTCAGCTTGTAGCTAAGTTAAAACCTTGATAATGCCAACCCTAAAGTCTCACCTCCCAGAAGGCAAATAAAGGAACCCAGAATTTATCATTAAAAAAAAAATCTCATGATTTTGAGGAGAATCTCGTGATTGGGGAGGTCTGACTTGTGAGTTTTGAGGCTGGTGACACTGAGGGGAAATACCTGCTGCTCACTCGCCCTCTGCCACAGGTGGGGGCGGGGGAGGAGAGGGAATGCTCAGCCTTTCCCCCCTCCCCCTAATTCACTGGCCAGTGGAGCAGAGCTGGTGTGAAGGGGCAAATAAGCTGCTTCCTTTTAGGACCGCAGTAGTTTACTCTCCGCAGAGCCAAAGGGGGAGCAGGGAAGGAGTTGTGACTGAGTAACCAGACACTCTGGGCTCCCACCCTCTCTGGCTCAGTCTAGCCCTTAATGCAGCGCTATGCTGCTTGTGCTATGTAGATCAAATCTCCCCCTTTCTTCAAGGGCACAAACCATTTGCTGAATGAAATATACCGGGGAAGGTTCCCAGTGTCCCAGCAGTGAGGAGTGGCTTCCTAAGGAGGAGACAGAATAGATCTGCCCTGAATCTATCGTGTTATGCGCTAGTACCCAACCCCGGGGGGGGAGATTAATTTGTGCTGCAAAGTTTACCCCAGGGAGCAGAGATCAAACCTACAACCCCTGGACTTTGAAGGCTGAGCTTCTTCTACTACCTGAGCTATAAAACCCCCTTTGCTAGCTCCTCCCGGAGCAGGGGCAGTGACTGCCCAAATGTGGGACATTGCTACACTGCATGGGGGTGGATCACACAGGGAATGACCTTTGCCCTCCAAGGGATTTCACAAGTGCCTGACTCTGCAAGGCCAACTCCAAAGATTAAAACACCAAAACTCAGGAGAGGGAAAAACCCCAGGAACGGCAGGAGGGGGGGGGCACAGAACTAGCCTGGGGCTCGGAGACAGAACGGATGGGGTGCGTGTGAAGGGACAGAATTAATTTATGGACAGGGGGTGGGATCCTGCAGCAGAGGCCAATATTGCCTTAGTAAATTTGGGCGCGCTGGCAACCCCAATTACCACCTACATGTTGGGGGGTTGGCATGGGGAGATCAAAGGACCAAACTCTACAATATTATTATGAATTTCAAAGGGGTTGAACAAGTGCCCAAAGTCACCACAGTGGGGATCAAAATCAATGTGATGAACCTGCAGCAACCTACCATTCCCACCAACCCGTTCCCCAAGGACCTGGGACCCTCCAAGGTGGACCCACATCTACATAAGAACGGCCATACTGGGTCAAACCAAAGGTACATCTAGCCCAGTATCCTATCTGCCGACAGTGGCCAATGTCAAGTGCCCAGAGGGAATGAACAGAACAGGGAATCATCAAGCGATCCACTCCCTGTCACTCATTCTCAGCTTCTGGCACACACAGGTTAGGGACACCATCCCTGCCCATCTTGGCTAATAGCCATTGATGGACCTGTCCTCCATTAATTAATCTAGTTCTTTTTCGAACCCTATTATAGCCTTGGCCTTCACAACATCCTCTGGCAAAGAGTTCCACAGGTTGACTGTGCATTGTGTGAAGAAATACTTCCTTTTGTTTGTTTTAAACCACCTGCCTATTAATTTCATTTGGTGACCCCTAGTTCTTGTGTTATGAGAAGGAGTAAATAACACTTCCTTATTTACTTTCTCCACACCAGTCATGATTTTATAGACCTCAATCACATCCCCTCTTAGTCATCTTTTCCAAGCTAAAAAGTCCCAGTCTTATTAATCTCTCCTCATACAGAAGCCATTCCATACCCCTAATCATTTTTTTTGCCCTTTTCTGAACCCTTTCCAATTCCAATATATATTTTTTTGAAATGGGGCAACCACATCTGCACACAGTATTCAAGATGTGGGCGTACCATGGATTTATTTAGAGGCAATATATTTTTTGTCTTATTATCTATCCCTTTCTTAATGATTCCCAACATCTGTTCACTTTTTTGACTGCTGCTGAACATTGAGTGGATGTTTTCAGAGAACTATCCACAATGACTCCAACATCTCTTTCTTGAGTGGTAGCAGCTAATTTAGA